TAACCACAGAAACTTATCTCTGAAAATTTAAGTGTTCTATTCTACATTTTCAGTTGTTTTATGTGATTCACTTGAACTGAGACACACAGTTTATCCTCCTCTGCCAAGGATTCTCCTGTGATTTCTGTCCCTACAAGTTCATTCCCTTACACTTTTCCCTTTCCAAACTACTTAATGTTACTATTTCAAATGTCAGCTATATACTGATGGCTCCCAAATCTCTACATCTTTACATGTGACCTCCAATTCCTAATATTCAAGTGCCCAGAAAATAATCTCACTTTATTTCCTATCATGCATTCAATCTCATCTGAAATCAAATCTATCTTCTTCCAAACTCTGCTCCTGGGTCCAAATCCTATCTTGACCTTGTCATAGCCTTTATAGCTACAATGGTTTCATAATGCTTATCTTTTTATGTGACTGACTTATCTTTTAAAAACAAATTGGAAGCTTTAGAGGGCAGGAATGGGGCACTATGTATCATTTTAACCCACTGATAATCAACTCCAGAATCCAACTCTACCTAAGGACACAGCAAGTAGCATTTATTAAATGTTGGTTTAAATCATCAGCTTTCGGGTATGGGTGAGGATTGGGCCTGAGAGCTTCAAGGTCCATGACCAAAGTGTTCCTGGAATTGGCAACATACCCACCAACCAGTCACCTAAAATATATGCTAATTTTACCCAAGACTGAGAAAAACTCAGTGTAATAAATCTGATCTGTTTATGCTTATCTCTAAAATAAGAAAATATTAGGGTTGCCTGCTAGCTCAGTTGGTAGAGCATGCTTGTTGTCAGGTCGTAAGCTGGAGCCCCATGTTGGGTGTAGAATTTACAATAAATAAAAAAATAATAAATAAATGTGTGTACACACACATATATACACATATATATAATATATAAAATCTTAAACAAATATTACATAGAATAACTTGTGGGAAATTAAGCAGGCTCTCTATGTACCACACTACCATGACCACACAATGTAAGACAACTACAGAGTTCAACACTCATGGATTTGATTTTTGTTACCCCAGCAACTCACAAAACCCACTTTCTGTTCCACTTCAGCCTCAGAAGCAAACAGCCCTGAAGGCAAAGTAAAAAGTATTAGGCACTCAGCAAAATGATTTTTGAGGGTTCCTGACTCTAGGTTAGCAGTGCATTTGTAGAAAAAGGCTGAATCATCTCTTAGCTTACAGAGAAGCTGCTGCCAGATGAGTTCATATGTAGTTTCATATAAGAATACTTTTTAACCATTACTGGGAAATAAGCACAAATGAAGAAGGCCCCATTCACCAACCATATAGGCAATTCACTGAAAAAGTTATGAGAAATGCAGCAAGAAGGCAGTATAATTCTGGGCTAAGACTGAAAGCTCTGATGTTAGACTCTCTGAGTCCAAATCCCTGCTCTGCTACCTACTGCTGTGTAACATTTAGCAATTTTTCTGTTTTTGTGTGTGGTTTGTTTTTTTTTTTTGGTGGGAAAGAAAGCAAAATTTATTGAGCAATAGTACGAGGCTCCTGAAGAGGGAGGGGACCTGAGAGGGTTGCCCGAACTTCAGCAATTTCTTAACATTTTTCTGCTTCAGTTCTGTCATCTGTAAAATAGTAATAATTCCTATATTCTACAGTACTTTTGTGAGAAATGTATGTGATAATAAATGCATGCAAAGCACTCAGACTAGTGCCTCGTACATAATGGCACATGGGTGCTTGATAAGTGCTAGATATTATTCCCATCAATATGGGATATATTTTCATTCACACTAGTAGACTTCACAGCTACTAGACATCAAGGGAAAAAAAAGACTTAGAAGAGTCCTGGTCCAATGAAAACACTAATTTAAAATACACCTGTTGGGGGACTAGCACTAAATCCAGAAAATGGACTCAGAAACAATCTGCCTGCATTTTCTACCTGTTTGAATATCTGACGTCAGTACATCAGCTGCAGGTCTTGCTTACCAAGACAAGTCTCCTCAGCCCTTGCTGCCCTAAAGATATAGGAAAAATGGCCGCCACAGCTGGTGTAGGCTCTGCCACATGGGATAGAACAAAAATTAAACGTGTGTGACCATATACTTAGCTAGTGTTAATCAGGTCTTTAAAAAGTCCAACAGAAGGGGCATCTGGGTGGCTCAGTTGGTTAGGCAACTGCCTTCGGCTCAGGTCATGATCCCAGAGTCCTGGGATCGAGTCCCGCATCAGGCTCCCTGCTCAGCGGGGAGTCTGCTCCTCCCTCTGACCCTACCCCCTCTTGTGCTCTCTCTCTCAAATAAATAAAATAAAATCTTTAAAAAATAAAAAAAATAAAAAGTCTGACATAAGAATGTGCTTTTCCCACAGCATTCAATATGAACACACAAGATTTCTTACCCAGTAACATCATCTCCCCAACATTGTCTTCCTTCTCTGAGGTGGGCTGTTGAGTAGCATCCAGGCTCACACATTCTTCTTGGGAATGAAATATATTCAAATCCTCAAGGACCACCAGTTCCTGAAAGAGCAATAGGCCCCCTTCCTCTTAATAACAGAGGTTCTTTGGTTCTTTGACAGCTCTGCTGGCAAAGAAGACTGAAACCCAACGATCAGGGAAGGGAAGGTGAAAGGGGACTATAAGTTCCATGCAGATGCAGCACGGACCAGAGAGCCAGGCTCAGAGAGGAGCCAAAGGACAAGCAGAAGAGAAATATCCAAGGAGGCAGTGAAAAACAAGCCCACTCCCCTTACTGACTCCCAAGAGTGTGTTTTTATACATGGGTTGGCTGAGCAGGGAGGGCTGAAAGAGCAGAGAAGGTGATGTACTCAAAACAGTGAATGGGAAAACCAAACCCACCTCAGGCTCAGTTTTCAAATACAGCGACACTGTGTCCTGTTTCTGCTGGATTCCTTCTCTGGGCAGAAGCTTCACCATGGGATGAGGTTGCACTGGGTAAAGAGAAAGCTGTAGTTAATGGAAAAATCAGTGACTCTAATATGGGAACCCTAACCACACCTTAAGGCCTCCCTGTCCTCACTCCTTCCGAAGGCAACTTATGGCTTTTTCTGCTTCTGTGAGCCCAGGAAGAGTTCAAGCCATAAACCACAGGGTCTTGAACCTATATAGGGTCTCCTCATTATGAAAAGAATGATTCTCTTAAGAACTTTTAAAATTCCCATTACTACTAAAGGGAAGGCTGGAGGAGGATAATGTCTGAAAATGCCCACAACAAGCACAAAATTTCCAAAATTCCACATAAACTGCAGTCAATTCAACAATTCATCACATTTCTTTATCCTAAAATGATATACACCCTCCCAACGTTTGGGTAAAACTGACACTGTTTATTCTATGGGTTTACACACACCCAGCAATCCAAACTCTAGCTTGAGAAAAAATACTCCCTCTCCCCAACAGGTTGACACTCGAATCAACTTTTTTCAATACCCACTATCCTAACTTGAATTCATTACTAACATAAAAACCTATTTCAGCCCCTAGTACCATTCCCTTCTCTTCTAGTGAAACAGCATGTGCTTCTTACGTCTGTTCTGAAAGTTTGAGCTCACATCCTTCATAATAACCAAGGTCTCCTTGACTTTCTGATTGGGCTGGACCAGGCTTGGCTTGGGCAAGAAGGTGAGGAAGTGCTCCAGAACCAGCTGGTGGATGGTCTTGGGCCCACTAGTAGCATCTCGAAGTAGGTCTTGGCCCAGCTTGGAGTCCGGAGGAACTCTCAGTATAAAGGACCGCTTTGGCTTTAGGGGCATTGGAACCACTTTTGCAGCCATCACGCCTTGCAATCACACACCACACTCGTTTTGCAGAGCTTCAGGAGTCACCTCTTACTGAAGGAAATCTGTCAGAGAGCCGAGCTGCAGATGAGAGAAACCATGGTTTACCCACAAAACCAGGTCCAATATACGGCCAGGATAGTGAGGCCACATGAAATGTAAAGCGGAAGGAAAGACAAGTTGTGTGAGGAACTCCTAACTGAAACGGAAGGTCGCTGAACTAGACACTCATAGCAAGGCCTGAGAGGAAGCTCTGAGAACGAAAGCCGGAGGATATCCAAACCCCAGGAGTCATTCTCCTGAGAAACATGAAGTGCAAGCTCCACTGGGAAGAGCAATGGGCTAGAAGATAGGAAACCTGGTGTCCAGTACCAAGGGCATCTGCTTAGAAGTTGGCCTAGCCATTAAATGAAGCCGTACTGCGCACCTTGGACCGCGGGTCCCTCGGATGCCCTTCCGGGGGCAGTTGATGGCTCAAGGAGCAAACGCAAGGCAGCACGATTAGTCCATACGCGGCCTGCTGACTCCTTTCCGCCATGAAAGCCCTGTTGAGAGCGGCGAGGGACCAAACAGTGGGGCCCAGCTGGCCAGGCCCATTCCGGAGCCTCTCCCACCGGCCACGGAGTACCTTTAACACAAAGCCCAGGCGGCGGCATTACCCGGGGTACGTTCCCGGCTCCCTAGCCGGGCAGGCTCCCCCAGCAACGGACCAAGCTCTGCTCCCTAGAGGCCACCTCAGCCTGGTTCCCGCCCTCGCGGAGCCTCTCACCTCTCAGGGGCTCTGCCGCCCCTGGGCGCTCGCAGGGGACGGCCCAGAGACCCCGGCGCAGAGAGACCGGGAAACTAGGCGCGAGAGGCCGAGCCCTCCCCTCGCCCTTCCGAGTGTCCTCACAGGCCGCCGGTGACTATTGGCGTGAGGAACCGTCAGTTGGGGAGGACGGCCGTGACACGGTGCCTTCTGGGAGGCCGGGCGCCTCCGCAGCCGATACGTCACAACCGGTGCCTCGTTTCCGGTTCGGAAGCCTGGTCTCCCAGCTCGGAGCCGTCAGGCTGCGCTTGAGAAAGCGATGCTCGAGGACGACAGGCAGAGCTCTCAGCGCCAGAGGGAGAACGGGCTGGAGGCAACCGCTGTTTCTGTGGCTCTATCTGGGAGACGGAAAGCAGAAGTTTAGCTTCAATCCTCCATGACGAGCTGGCTCGTCTCCAGGTACTGGCGGTGTAGCTCCATGGCCTGCTGGGAAATGTAGTTCGGCTCCAAACAGCTAATGGGAGGCCGCCAGGCGCGGCGGCTGGGGCGGGACAGTCCCACCCTCACCCCACCCCGCTTTCCCCGGGCTCGACCGGAAGTAGGCTGCCTCTCGGACCGGAAGATCTGCGAGAGGCTGCGGCTGTTTTCGCCGCAGCATCCAGGGTGTGTCGAAGGACCGCTGAAGCGGTGAGTGGGTGGCGGGTCAAGGTCTATGCCTGGTTCTGGGTCCTGTCACAGCTGTCCCTTCCGGTAAGGGCAGCCCATAGATCAGAACCGGGCGACCCTTCCCTTCCCCGCTTGCAGGTTTCTACCTTGCGGTCTGAACGGGCCGTCTTGTTTTCTGAGAAATCCTAGTGATCCTTCTCCAGTCGCCTTCGTTTCCGTCCTCAGCCTCTCAGGGAGGCCTAACCGCCCTTTCTCCCTGCGTTGTTCCCATACTCGGTTCATTCCCCAGTGAGGCACTGATCAGCGTTGTGACAACCCCGGGGCAGGGATTGCTTTATTGCTCTATGTAACGCCAGCCTCCACCTGGGTGACCAAAGTAAAAATATAAATGGATTTTTTTTTTCTTAACGCTAACTATAGGTGACTCATTTAGCCATGGTTTAAAATATGTTACAGCCTAGTGTTAAAACTGTGTGGTACCAAAAGTTTTTCTAAAATTAAGGATACTTGCTTTTCCAGACATCAAAAACCAAAAACAAAGCAAACAATAACAAACTCCTTCAGGGGCGCCTGGGTGGCTCAGTCGTTAAGCGTCTGCCTTCGGCTCAGGTCATGATCCCAGGGTCCTTGGATCGAGCCCCGCATGGTGCTCCCTGCTCCGCGGGAAGCCTGCTTCTCCCTCTCCCACTTACCCCGCTTGTGTTCCCTCTCTCGCTATGTCTCTTTCTGTCAAATAAATAAATAAAATCTTAAAAAAAAAAAACAACTCCTTCAATCAAAGCAGTATGGTTTGAACTGGAAGTAAATAAATAGAACAGTAGAAAAGAATAGTAAGTACCAAAGTTGATCTGACTGTACATGGACCTATATGAAAGGGTAGCATTTCAACTTAGTGTAAAATAGATGGTGCTAGCAAAAAATTGTCTATTCTTCTGGAAAGACAGAATGTGTCCTTATACTATATACAAAAAAATGGAATTTGATAACCAATAAGAGAAGACAAAAGAATATTAATTTAATGTTGGGGCACCTGAGTGACTCAGTCGGTTAAGCATCTGCCTTCAGCTCAGGTCATGATCTCAGGGTCTTGGGATCAAGTCCCCACATTAGGCTCCCCAGTCCTTGGGGAGTCTGCTTCTCCCTCTGCCCTACCCCCACCGCCCACCCCCCGCTCATGCTCTCTCTCTCTCTCAAAAATCTTTAAAAAAAAAAAAACCCTGATGAGTGGCTAAACAAGATGTAGTATATCTATATAATGGATTATTATTCAGCAGTAAAAAAAGGAATGAGTACTAATACATGCTGCAACGTGGGATGGACCTCAAAAACATTATGCCAAGTGAAAGAAGTCTGTCACAGAAGACCACATAGTGTGTGATTCTACTTGCATGAAATGTTCAGAATAGGCAAATCCATAGAGACAAAAAGTAGGGTAGTAGTTGTCAGGGGCTGGGGGAAGGGGAGAGTGGCAAGTGACTGCAAATGGATGCAGGGCTTGTTTTGAAAATGTTCTGGATTTAGTGGTGATGTTTGTATACATTGTGAATATACTAAAACCCATTTAACTATACACTTTAAAAGGGTGAATTTTATGGTTTGTGAATTATATCTCAATTAAAAAAAGAAACACCAGACAGGGAAATTTTCATTGTACAAATACAAATGTTTAGTATCTAAAATATTTCTGAGGGATGCCTGAGTGGCTTGGTGGGTTAAGCATCTGCCTTTGGCTCAGGTCATTATCTCAGGGTCCTGGGATCGAGTCCTGCATTGGGGTCTGTGCTCAGCAGGGCTCCTGCTTCTCCCTCTGCCTGCTGTTCCCCTGCTTGTACTCTCTCTCTGACAAATAAATAGAACTTTAAAAATAATAAAATACTTTTGAAGAAGTACTACAGACAGCTAAGTTCAATATTTAGATTCCACATAGCAAGTAGTCAAAGAAGCTGTGCTGTTTCTGTGGAATGAAGCAAAAGATAGAAGTCCACATGGAAAATTAAATTCACAGCCTCACTAATTTTAAAACATAGGTAAAACCCCATTATATCTCTATTGAATGAACAAAAAATTTTACTTTTTTATTTTATTTTATTATTATTTTTTAAAAGATTTTATTTATTTATTTGACAGAGAGAGACACAGCGAGAGAGGGAACACAAGCAGGGGGAGAGGGAGAAGCAGGCTTCCCGCGGAGCAGGGAGCCTGATGTGGGGCTCGATCCCAGGACCCTGGGATCACGACCTGAGCTGAAGGCAGATGCTTAACGACTGAACCACCCAGGCACCCCCCAAAATTTTATTTTATTTTAAGATTTTATTTATTTATTTGAGAGAGCAGAGCACAAGAGAGGGGAGGGTCAGAGGGTGAAGCAGACTCCCTGCTGAGCAGGGAGCTCAATGCGGGGCTTGATCCCAGGACCCCAGGATCATGACCTGAGCCGAAGGCAGATGCTTAACTGACTGAGCCACCCAGGCGCCCCAAATGAGCAAAATATTTTAAATGACAAACATTGCTTTGGGCATAAAACATTATTTAATCTTTCTGAAGGATTGTATGGTCAACTGTAGCAAGTGTTATGAAATAGTTCACATTCTGGAGCCATTTTAGGAATAACAGGAGAAAAGAATATGTGTATGGGGAGGTGGTGGAAAAAATACAGGAAGCTGCTCTTGGAAAGATTATAGCAAGGGAGAATTGGGAACAGCTAAGCAAATAAAGCACATGAACTCTGTCAGAGTATGGATTATGTTCATAGAACAAAGCTCCATGAAGAAACCAGGGCCACAATCATGGAGAAGCTGAGTCCAGTCTAGACTCTAGTGTGAAGATGGAAAGATGAGTTGGGGTAGGAGGGGTTTGGAGCCTAATCTTCATCTGATTCCTTTTTTCCCCTTACATCCTTTCTCTTTACATCTCTTTAAATGGGGGATGATAGAGGGGATATCTGTGAACTAGAACAGATTTTCAGATACAGGTCAGGACAGAATTTTAAAAAATCTGATACTTGGAATATTTGTCAAATGTTTTCCCACTATAGCAGCTCCATCTTTTTCATGGTGTTCAGTAGGGAAATGGGATCTTACAATGATTGACTAAGTGACAACAAATTGAGTGCAAACTGAGTGCAATTATGACCAGCTTTTCTAATTGATTTATTTATGATGCCTAGCCAATACTCTTAAGATCCGTAGTTCATTAATCCAGGTACAAAAATATAACAATCCAGTCTGGTTGTTTTATTTCTCAGCTTTGCAAGTCCTTAAGAAAGAGGAGGATGGAATGAAGCGACACATCCTTGCCATAGAGTTCTGAGGGAAAATGAGGGTGAGATCTCTGCCTTAGGGGCATCTTAGGGTGCTAATTCATACAAGGATTTATTAAGCATCAGCCATGTACTTCTTCCTCTGAGGTGTCATCAGTACATGTGCTCTCTTCACCCTTGGTTTACCAATATTTAGGTACCCAGCTTATTTCTGCTACCATTCCATAGGCTCTTTGTTATATTACCCACAGCAGCTGGAACCCAGTAGGTGTTCAATAATGACAGTTGAGTATACAGATTCAAGATACAAGGCTGGGAGCCAGAAGAGAGATGCAAAGTGTTGGGCATTCAGTGAGGCCCCTGGTCACCCACTGGACAGATGGTTAGAGGATCCGTGTTCTTCCCTCCATCATGTGTTCCGGGGCTGAACATAGGCTGAAGGGGCCCAGAAGAAGAGAAACTGGTGAATGTGTAGATGAGGGATTTGTATGTTACATTGTAAAAGGAAATTTCTCCAGCCTTGTAGTCCAGGAAGATGCCCACACGTCTGGGGGGTTCCCTTATCTGCAAGCGTGTTGGGGGAATGGTGGACACCTGGTACTCATTCCGCTTCATCATCATCACCACCCAATAGCCATTGTCGGGTGACAGAGTCATGCTCCCTTTCCTGCTCGCGGATGCCTTGCAGATGCCCAGGATCCACCCTGTCTTGTTTCCCACCTCCACTTCCCAGTAATGGCGGCCAGAGAGGAAGCTTGGAAGGCCTAGGGCGATGATGCAACTATCAAATCTTTCTGGATTATCAGGTAGACGATTACACTTGTTTCCAAGTCTCACGCTCTTCAGGTTATTAGAGAAGATGAGGTTGGGGTGGGCAGTTTCTGCATCCAGAATCACATTAACTGCAGAGAGAATTAGAATACCTAGCTGGGGGGTCCATGGGCAGTGTACCTACAGGGTTCTCCCCACCTCCAGGAAACATGGATAGGGACATTCTTCTGGAATGCACTAGAGGTCAGCACAGGGACCCAGCAGGTGAAGTCCACTTGCCTTAGTCTGGGCACTTACCGGCATGTGCCTGAGCGCAAATCAGTTCTGGAACTACAGAGAAAAAGAAGATGTGGGGGAAAACCTGAGTATTCCAATTCAGAGAGGCTAAATGTACCCTGGTCCCCACAACAAGGAAAGACAAGGACCCCTACCCGAGCTCAGGACCTTGCTTCCTTTGCTTGGATTAACCCCATTCCTCCTAGACCCTGGAGACTGCCTTGGTGACTCTTTGGTCTGATGAGTTGACCCAGCCAACAAGTCCAGCACAGAGCCTGTGAAAGCTTTCTTCTGCCTTTGTTATAGGTGTTTTTCTCTCTTCTAAATAATGCCCAGAAATCAACAGCATAGGGAATATCACAGTAGCCCCTGGCAAGCATTCTGCCATCACCATACTCACAATTAAAGGTGTCCATTTCTGAACGCAGGATTTCTAAAAGAAGAAGGGGAGCTTGAGTTAGGTTCCCCATCTAGGGACAGATCAGGAAGAGGCTGAAGGCAGCATCAGAAAGGCATGGGAGTTGGAGAAGGGATGCCAGAGGGGTTTGGGCTACATGGACATCAGGGAGGAAGCGAGCAGGTGACTCCCCTTTTCCCCCAAGCCCACCTACCTGAGAAGGACTTAATGCTCTTCTCCACAAACTCTGATTTCTGGTAGATCAAGTGGATCTTTTTTTCCACCTCTGGAGGAGTGTTCCATGGCTTAGGAACAGTCGCCATCTTGACCCTAGAGACAAAAGACTGCTGGCCAGAGAGGGCTGGTGCATGGGGGTAGCCCAAGTTCCCATGAGGTGGAAATGAGGTGCAGGCTCCACAGGGGACACCCAGCCCACTTGGGCTTGGCAAAGAAAGTCCTCTCTGGACTCCGAGTTTTAAACACTGGTTCTCAACTTTGGCCACAGATTGGCATCACCTAGGGAGTTATAAAACCACTGATATCAAAACCACAGTGAGTTTTAATAGTGGCCTTAAAATGGTGCTAATATTGAAATGCTCAGCCTAGAATTATCTATGTCAAATTAATTATACCTCTTTAGTCCTTTTCTGTTGAAATAAAAATGGTAATAAGAAAAAAACCACAGTGAAATATGACTCATAGGATGGTTATTATTTTGAAAAAATCAAAATGACAGGTATTGGCAAGGATGTGGAAAAATTGGGACCCTTGTGCATTGGTGGTAGGAACGTAAAATGGTACAGACACTGTGGGAAATAGTATAGTGGTTCCTCAAAAAACTAAACATAGAATTACCATATGACACATCAATTCCACTTCCAGGTATATGCCCAAAATAATTGAAAGCAGAAGGGCGCCTGAGTGGCTCAGTCGTTAAACGTCTGCCTTCGGCTCAGGTCATGATCCCAGGGTCCTGGGATCGAGTCCCACATCAGGCTCCCTTCTCGGCGGGAAGCCTGCTCTCCCTCTCCCACTCCCGCTGCTTGTGTTCCTGCTCTCGCTCTCTGTCTCTGTCAAATAAATAAAATCTTTAAAAAAAATAAGTGAAAGCAGAGACTCAAACAGATATATGTACAGCAATATTCATAGCAGCATTATTCACAATAGCCAAAAGGTGGAAACAACCCAAGTGTCCATTGATGGATGAGATGAAAGGAAAAACAAATTGTGGTATATACATACAGTGGAATATTACTCAGCCTTACAAAGGGATGAAATTCTGACACATTCTATAGTGTGGATGAACCTTGAAGACATTATGCTAAGTGAAATAAGCCAGACACAAAAGCACAAATACTGTATGATTCCACTTATATGAAGCAGTTAGAGTAGTCACATTCATAAAGACAGAACATAGAATGGTGGTTGCCATTCCTTGCTTCCTGGGTGAGGGGGCAATAGGGAGTTATGTTTTAGTAGTATGGAGTTTCCATTTGGGAGGATAAAAAAGTGCTGCAGATAATAGTGGTGTTGGTTGCACAATAATACGAATGTACTTAATGCCACGGAACTGCACATTTAAAAATGGTTAGAGTGGTAAATTTCATTTTATATGTATTTTGCCACCAAAAAAAGAGGGAAAAAAAGTTTATGCTAGGGTCACGCTCTTGAAGATTTGGATTTAATTTGTGTGCCAGGGCCTGGATGTCAGGATTTTGTAAAGCTCGTGGGGTGATTGTAATGGCCAGCCTCCTCCCTTCCCTCCCCTTCCTTCCCCTGTCTGGGCTTAGCATCTCCACTCCTAGAAAGTGCTTCCCTCCCTGAGACCATAAGCACTTGTGGCCTCAGGGAGGGAGGCACTTCTGCAGGAACAGTTTTTATGAGACAAATTGCAATCTTTAGGGAGGTTTCTTAGGAACCATCATTAGCACGATAAGCTGTGTTTGTTCTTTCCAGTCTTCAGCCCATGCTGTCTCTCCTGATCACACTCCCATTTTCCCTACACAAATCCAGAAAGGCCTTAGGAAGCTGCAGGAGATAGGAGGAAACCAGGAGGTGTCACAGACCCAGGGTTGGGAGCATCTCCCTCCTAGGGATGCCTCCCCCACTGCTTCCTGCAGGATACCCAAGGGAACACGAGGGGACCTCTCGGTACCTGTACAGGGTGACTCCGATGTCCTAGGAGAGAAAAGAGGGAAGCTCTCCATTACCAGTCTCCTAGGGGCTGCACTGACTCCTGGTCTATCCTCCTGGGCTCACAGCCCTGGGGTGTCAGCAAAACTGGGGCATCTCTCCCCATTCTAATTTTCATCACCCAAAGTGGCAGCCTGGTGGGGCTTGCAACAGAACTGCACCCAAACCCTGCTTTTCTCTTCTGGGAGATGCCAGGGGATCCCTTGAAAGCTGGGCCACCCTGGGCTCCTGACAGCTCATCAAAAGGGTCTGGGCACAAGACCTTTGTCTTGTACTGACTTGGGCAGAGTTAATGGCAGTGCTGGGGAGCCCATGTCATCCTACTGGGCACAGCGGGCAGGGGAAGCCAGACCCAGCCACACTCACCTGCATGAGCTCCCATTCCGGTTGGTACTGCTTGGCCTCCAGCTCCCCAATCAGCTCGTCAAGAAGGGCAATGTCTCTGGATACTTGGGTGCTATATTTCTCCCTGACCTGGCCAATGGTCTGGTTCAGATCCTCTATTGAGGCCACAAAGAGCTTCTCTTGCTGCTCCAGAAGATGGTACAGCTGCTCCAACTGGTGCCGATGTCTCTGCTTCTGGGTTTCAGTTTGTTTCTGGGGGAACAGAAAGGTGTAGGGTCTATCCAGTGTGCTGGATGTGTGTGCCCAGGGAATCCCAAGAAGCCCACCTCCTGGAGGTGGCTAAGAGGCTGGATCCCTCAGCTTCTTGGAGGACTAGATTTCAGAGAAGGAAACAAAATGGGCCAGAACCTTCCAGAACAGACTGAAGGTGGCAGGGATTAGCTCTTGTAAAATGCCCTAAAACCCAGTATTCTGGGTTGATTTGTATCTCCTCCAAAATTTATGTTAAAGTCCTAACCTCTAGTACCTAAAGAATATGATCTTATTTGGCAATAGCATCATTGCAGATGTAGTTAGTTAAGATGAGATCATACTGGAGTGGGCCACTGGAGTGGGGAAGTTGAGACACAGACACAGGGAGAACACCATGTGAAGAAAACACAGGGAAAAGATGACATCTACCAGCTGAGGGGAGAGGCCTGGAAGATCTCCTTCATGGCCCTCAGAAGGAACCAGTCCTGCTGACACCTTGACTATGGAATTCTGGCCTACAGAACTGTGAAAGAATTTCTTTTTTGCGGTTTAAGCCATTCGGTCTGTGGAACTCTGTAATGGCAGCCACAGGACACTAAGATATCTGGTGTCATCTTTTTCCTTCCTTGAAAGCCAGTGTGAGGATGACATATGCCTGGGGTTGTAAATGGACAAGGTTATGACTACCAAAGTGTCCAGGAAGGAGACTTCTCTCTAGGTCCCACCAAAGCGCTGGCATGCAGAAGGTCCTCAATGTGGCTCTGAATGAAGGCAGTCAGTCCATTTACGTGACTGTAAGTGAACTTGACTTCTACTACCATTGCACATAGGTCAGCCATCTGGCCCATGTTCTATCCAGAGTTTCTGTGGAAACATGAAGTGGCTGTAGGGAACCTTCTCCTTCCTCCATGGAGGGAGAAACCCCTTCGAATCTTCTAAGACTGGACTTAGGAAGTCTCATCATTTTGAGCTCTTTAGTGATTTTGAACCAGAAATATTTCCTCACCTTTTGTTGTTGAGGGTGCTAACATTGGCTTTTTTTTTCCTTAAAGAGGACAGGTCAGTTGTCATGTTCAATGGCCTATGTTCTAAAATTGTCTGATAATTTTGCTCATGATTAAATTCAGGTTAAGCATCTTAGACAAGAATACCATATTCTTAATGCGCTGGGCTCCCTAGCACAGCCCATGGGGAGGCAAAGAGTGTCCAGTTTGTCCATCACCATTATTGTGATACGGAGATCAGTCACTTGGTTGAGGAGGGGTCTGCCACATCTCTCCAGTGTCAATATATATTATTTCCTTTATAATTACTAAGTAATTGGAGGAGTGGTACTTAGAGGATATCAATATCCTGTTCTCTTATGATCTTCTGTGAAAAATTTTAGCATTTGTTGATGATCTCTGTTGGTGTTGATTGTTATACTGGTGTTTGTATAGTGGGAAATTTCCTTTTTGAGATTATTTATTTATTTATTTAAGTAATCTCTGCAACCATCTTGGGGCTTAAACTCACAACCCTGAAATCAAGAGTCGTATACTCTCTGACTGAGCCAGCCAGGCACCCCATAACCATTCTTCCATACTCGTTTTAGCTGACATTGTGCTGTAAAAAGAGTTTCCCCTCCCCCTTCCATATGATTAAAAAATTATATATATATTTTGACTATTGAAAGGAGGATGAGCAGAAGTCTTGAAAACAACCACCTTTCCACGGGGACTCATGTCACTGAGTGTCTTAAGGGAAGACCAGACCTTCTTGTCTCCCTAAGTTTCACTGTGGCCCAGGTTTCTGCCTCACTGTCATGGTGGGGGCATCCCTGACCTCTGCTTCACCCACAAGTTCCGAGCCACCTGGCATTATAGGAAAGGTGTTTTCTTTTTTAGAAAGAGAGAGAGAAAGCTGGTGAGTGCAGGGGAGGGGGAGGTGATGATGGGAAGGGCAGAGGGAGAGGGAGAGAAAGAATCTTAAGCAGACTCCACACCCAGTGTGGAGCCCGACGTGGGGCTCAGATCTCACGACCCTGAGATCATGACCTGAGCTGAAATCAAGTCAGACTCTTAACTGACTGAGCCATCTTGGCGCCCTAGAAAGGGGTTTTCTTTTACTACACTTCATGAGTTTCCCAAAAGTTAGACACCTGGACCAATGCCATGCCTGCTCCCATTCCTGCCCTTTGTTATCTTTGCCTGTTTCCCATTGTGGTGTGGGAGATGGGATCCAGCCAACAGAAATGGGTCAGACAAATTAAGGCTCTTTGGGGTAGCTGAATTTGCTTGCAGGGAAAATGGAAGCAACTTATGTGTCCAGGTTCAACAGAGGAAGGGCAACAAATGTATTTATTGAAATCTGTGGCATCACAAAATGACAGTTTTAAAGAAAATGTCTAACCATTTGAATTTTAAAATTCCATATTAAAAAATAATGGACAACAATTTTAAAAAACCATACAAAGGAGTATTTAAAATGGAAAGTCTCTCCTCCCATTTCCTCAATCCCATCCCTCAGCGACAGCCACTGGTGTTAATTTCTCTAAACCATTTTGTAGTGAATATGAGAAAGCACAGGCTCCTCAGAGATTTCCCTCCCTCCTGAGGGTGGGTCTCCCTCTCCAGGGACAAGCTCATCCTTGGACTCCTGTTACCTCCCTGCCCCCTCAAGAGCAGGTGATTCTAAATAGGTGATCAGTTCTGCTTCTCTATGAACCAGAACATAATTTGGGGACCCCCTGCTCACTTTTGGTCCCCTCCCTCCTTTTGCAGGGGTGAACTCAGGCAAGGATTGGCCACAGAACACCCCTGACCTTACCAGGAATTTTGCAGTCTTCTTATCCCCCTGAGATCTCTGCTCCTCCCCAGATTTTCTCAACTCCTTCAGATGCTCCAGCTGCTTTTGAATTTGCTCCTGGAAAAGGGGCACTTGTTGAAGCCTAAACTTGGCCTCTGCCATCTTTAGTTGGTGCCAACTCTAGAGGGAAAAAATCTGCTTTAGGGAGTAAAGCTGAGGGTGCTGCAGCCAAGAGCACAGGGATGGTGCCCAGGAAAGGAAGAATGAATCCATCATACCAAGGGAAACAGATCCAAGAGGTGGTGAGAGAGAGATTCTTAATGACATGTGGGCACCTGGATTCAGCAATACCTGAAGCTAGTGCCCTTGGACCTCAGCTACATGAACCAGTAAATTCCCTCTTTGCTGGTCTGGTTTATATTGTGTTTTTGCCACTTTATAGACCAGGGATGCTGACTAATGCACCAACATCCCAGGGTTGGGAAATAAAGTAGCCCTGACTACTTTTTTTTTTTTTTAAGATTTTTATTTATTTATTTGACAGAGAGAGACACAGCGAGAGAGGGAACACAAGCAGGGGGAGTGGGAGAGGGAGAAGCAGGCTTCCCGCCGAGCAGGGAGCCCGATACAGGGCTCGATCCCAGGACCCTGGGATCATGACCTGAGCTGAAGGCAGACGCTTAACAACTGAGCCACCCAGGCGCCCCCAGCCCTGACTACTTTTAAAAGCCCCTCCCCACCCACCCCCAAGAAGCCCTACCTTGTATTCCAGGGCAGCCTCTTCGATGGGGCGCACCCAGTGGCCTTGATGTTCCTGACTCAGCCTGCAGATGAGGCAGATAGGCTCCTTGTGGTCCTCACAGAAGAGCAGCTGGACCTGCTTCATGTGTCGCTCACACTGTGGCAAGGACTTGGGACTCAAGCTGGCTATCTGCAGTCCTTCTTGCTGCTTGTAGTCTTCAGAGTTATTTACTGTGAGTGAGGCCAGGCTTAGGAAGCTGCTGGGTGAGCATTTGCCTGAGGTCTTAGGATACCTAGAAGCAACGGAGTATCTGCAGGAATCATCTCCTTCCTGGGCACGACAAAGGGGATACACAGCCTCATCCTGTGGCTTCCCTGGGGCCATGGCAGTGGAAAAATTTCCTGAGTGACAAACCCAAAATGTTATGAAGAGGTGCTACAAAGAAGAGAGAGATAGAGAGCCCATGCCTGGGACACACAAGTTCCTGGTTAGACTGTGGCCACTTCTAACTTGTCCTCCCCTGACTTTGTTCCAGCAAGGCAGCAAACCACCCAGCAAAAGTGAGGGCAAAGGGCTAGATCTCATGACAGTCCTGAGACTTGGAATTCCTGGATATTTATCCTAAAGAAAAGGCTTTTGTTATAAATTCTATGCCTTCCTCCCACACATGTACAGATCTAGCAGGTGATATAAAGGCAGTGAGACATTCTGACCAGTGTTTGCTTTGCCACTTAAAACCAACCAGGCTGCTCTCTTGAGTCTTGTGGGAGCCCACAAGAAGAAACAGAGACCCACTCAATTCATTAGTCCCCTCCCACCACCTCTCACAAGGTCCCAGGAATTCATATCACATCTGTAAGTGAGACTGTGGGAGGCCCCCCCAGTAACCATTCTCCCCTCCTTCCCTTATGATAGAATTGATTGCTGCCCATCAGTTGATGGCTGCTTCCCTCCCCCACCCCCCCAAAAAAAACCATTTCTTGCAATTGGGTATGGCTATTTGACTACATTCTGGCCAAAGGGATATAAATGAAGGCATCATGAACAGCTTCTAGAAACTTCTGGAAACTTTCCCTAAGCGATACTCTTCTCCTTTGTCCTTCCATCCTGCTGCTTGGAATGAGGATGCCACCCTCTGAGACCATGAGCTTGAGAGCAAATTTTGTGGAGCAGAAAAACAGCAGGAGCCTGGGTCCCTGGCCCATAGAGTACCACATCTGTTCTGGACCATCTGTGTTATTTATGTGAAGGAGAAACAAACTTCTGTCTCGTTTCAGTTAGCGTTATTTTGGTGTTTCTGTCATCCACAACCCAACATAATCCCAATTTCTGCCTCCTTAGTAAAAGAGATTTAGGATTTTAGCCAACAGCTCTCCTCCCTGCCCAGAGAGGTGAATGGCAGAATCTCAGTCCCATGACATACTGCCATGGGGTCATTGTGAGAAGCAGGTATTTTTACCCAGTCTTTCCCAGATGCTCAAGCTGGGGTCCATGAATTCCTTGGAATTCTATAGGATTTCAGTGTCTAAGAACTTGAACTTTGATGCAACATTTTATGAAGATGTGCATATGTGCATTTTTTTTCAGGATTCACAGCCTACCTCAGATCCCAGGGGGCACCCAGGGATCTGGTGTTGTGAGGAAATGCCTGCACAGGTCACCATTCCTAAGGATACCAGGTTTTCTGAGTTTTGGGGTCCTTTCTTACCTGAAGAAGGAGGGACTTCTGGACCTGAAGGCTGATGGAGCTCACTGCCTACCACCTCCCTCAAGGTCTCAGAAGGTTCTTGACCCTCAATTCCATTTTTCTTTGAAGGTCCTGTAGATTCTGGATGCTCCCAGGTCATCTGGTCTCCAGACAGTGATACATTGGAAAGTGTATTCCTGAATACTCCCCCCTTCAGGATCATGGACTGTTCTGGATTCTTGGAGCCTTTCTCTGGAGCCACAGTAGCGCCTACATCCAGAGTGGCCACTTCACTGGCGGTGGCTGCTGAGTCTGGATGATCACTTCTTATTTTCTCTTGAGGCAGAAGAGTTTCTGGATTGGGAGGTTCTCTCTCTCCCAAAAAAAAGGTAAATTCAAGACTTCTGGGTCGCTTCTGCCCTGAAGGTAAATGTTCTTCAGAGATCCTGGATTTTACTCTTCCTAGGGACACAGTAAGGGACTCAGAGTCAAGTCCTTGGAGCCTTCCTAAAGAGCTGGCGTTCCTGCGTAGCATGCCACTAGGACTCCACTTCTCACCCTGTGGCTTACCAGAGAGTAGGCATCTCCTGGGGGACAGAGTCATGCTTCTGGCCCATGGCTTGCCCAGCACATCCAGGCCCTCAGAGCCCTTCTGATCTCTCCGTTTGCCCTGAGGCTTCTTTTGGGGCCCCCTTCCAGCCTCATGCTGGCTGGGTGGCAGGCTGAGGGCCCCATCACCACTTTGCCGCTGCCTAACACCTTCCAGGCCATCTGGTATCCTCAGGCCCTTGGGCTTATTCTCCCCAGAGGAACAAGACATTGCTGAACTGTTCGGGCCACTTTCTTGTATCAGATACTCTGCAAAGACAACAGGATGCAAAGACATGAAATTGTGCAGTGTTCAGGGCCAGGGGTCGGGAGAGAAGGGAGAGAAGGAAAAATCCCCTCAGAAATTACAGAAGTTCAGAATGTTCTAGGCAACAACAGTCAATTACCCTTAAATAAGAAAATGCTAATTATTTGTTATATATTTCTCAAATAGTGCTTTTCACACTTCTTTGGCAGGAGAACTTGTTTCCAGTATAAAGTCTTACACAAAATTCTTAATTCATAAAATAAATAAACCCCCTAGTTTACTGGTATAAATGTGTGTGTGATTATAGGTGTATAAAACTCACTTATAAAATCCATCAATAAAGAAGAATTAAGGTATTTGGCACAAAAATTTGAAAACATTTTGAAGGACAATTAAAACTTCAGAAACTAATTTACTTCTGTTTTATTCTTTGGTTTCACGACATGAAGAAAATCCTAACACACAGGTAAGTGTAAATGATGATTTTTTTTTTTTAAACAGCTTGCTTGGTTGGAAGTTTCAGGATACAGTTTCATTAAACAGAAATGACAGGAAAGGCTTATTAATTCCAAGGTCTACATAAAAAGGAGTTCAAGTACAGCACAAACTATCACCCTGGTGGCCTCTAGCATTTCAAAATTTGGTTAATGACACATTTTATTTTATTTCATTTTTTTAAAGATTTTATTTATTTATTTGACAGAGAGAGAGACAGCGAGAGCAGGAACACAAGCAGGGGGAGTGGGAGGGGAAGAAGCAGGCTTCCCGTGGAGCAGGGAGCCCGATGCGGGGCTCGATCCCAGGACCCTGGGATCATGACCTGAGCCGAAGGCAGACGCTTAACGACTGAGCCACCCAGGCGCCCCCTAATGACACATTTTATTTTATTTCATTTTTTTAAAGATTTTATTTATTTATTTGACAGAGAGAGAGACAGCGAGAGCAGGAACACAAGCAGGGGGAGTGGGAGAGGAAGAAGCAGGCTTCCCGTGGAGCAGGGAGCCCGATGCGGGGCTCGATCCCAGGACCCTGGGATCATGACCTGAGCCGAAGGCAGACGCTTAACGACTGAGCCACCCAGGCGCCCCCTAATGACACATTTTAATATGAATTTGTTGGCTTTGTAAATTAGAAAAATTAATAAAATTTGGATTAAGTGTTTGTTAACATTCTAAAGAATCCCTGAAATATCTTTCCTGGTTGTAACTTAAAAACCGCTACTCTAATAAAGAAATGAAGATATCCTGTAATCAGCACTTTAATTTGTGGTAGAAGAGGCTCTTACTAAAATTGCTTCAGAGTTGTTTAAAACACTTTGCTGTTGCAAACACTTTGCTTCCTAGGAAAATGTTAAGTTCCCCAAACTGGCTCAAGAACTAATGGGAAAGCCCTAAAGATGCTAATAACCAGGTTTTATTGTTTCTGGTTTTTTTAAAAAATTTATTTATTTGTCAGAGAGAGAGAAAGAATAGCAGGGGAAGCAGCAGGCAGAAGGAGAAGAAGGCTCCCTGCTGAGTAAGGAGCCCGATGTGGGACTCCATCCCAGGACCCTGGGATCATGACCTGAGTCGAAGGCAGACACTTAACCAACTGAGCCACCCAGGCATCCCAATAACCAGGTTTTAAAACATGAAAAGGTAACTTAAAAATTCTACTCATCAAATTACACTGGACTCAGATTATGGTTTAGTCCTATCAGTCTTTCAAAGAGTGGAGAACTTTTATGTTATTTAAACATTCTACTTCAGAAAAATACATGGAGGCCACATTCGTTGATCACAGTGGGATAAAATCAGGAAGTTACAGCAAAACAGGAATAGAAGAACAAGGAGGAGAAGAAGGAAGAAAAACAAGGAAAGAGAAAAGATGAAAGAAAGGAAGGAAAAGAATTGAGAATTTTAGAATACCTTTGTGAAATGTGTCAAAGAAGAACTCAAAACTGAAAATAGGTGGATTTCAATGTGAAGATTACTGGTCCACCCAGCTGATATGGTCAGTTAGCAAGCCCTTTTTTTCTCTCCTGAAGATACTGGTCTGTACATAGGGGTTAATCACAATGAAGTTAGGGCCCCTCTAAGATCAGGCATCTTAGCTCTTGCTCTCCTGATTCTGCCCCACAGTGAGAATCTCAGCTTCCCTCGCCGTTTTTTAAAGCCATTGGGAGCCTTAGCTGTACTAACCCAGCTCCAAAGACCTAAGCAGCAGAAAGGACTTGCTCGGCCAGAGTCACTGGGGTCATGGTAGACCTGGGACTCCTAACCTCCCAAGTCACAACACAGTGGTCTAAACACAAGTTCCCTCTTGCACCTTCTACCCCATTCCATGAATAGCCAGCAGTCACACTGGGAGAGGAATGGAGCATGGGGCCTGTTTACCTGGTCTGATGGCCCTGTCAAGCTCCTCTGCCAGGAAGTTCTGGTTGATGGCTCTCAGGACTTGCAGGGTCAGCCTCACAGCATACTCTTCCCCATAGTGGGTGATCATCAGAGTGGCCAGCTTCACTGGCCTGGCATTCTGGAGCTGGCTCCGGGGGATCCGGGAGTGATCCTTCTCCAGGCTGGTGTTCTGCAGCTTAAACTTGAACTTCTCAAAGTCACTGGGCACCAGCTCCTCCAGGGAGTCCAGCAGATGGTCACTGGGGGCCTTGATCATGGTGTTGACCAGGAGAGGCCAAAGCTAGCTGTCTGAAACAGCCTCTGCCCTGGAACCCAGAGGGTGGGTAAAAAGAAGCTGTTTGTGAAATAACGGAAAAGGCACAGGAAATGCTCTGCGCTCTGGCGGGAACTGAGCTATGAGTGTCATCATTTGTTTGTTCCCAGTGATGACACTTGCGTTCTCTTTCTCACAGATTTGGAGGCTTTTACAGCTGGGAGGGCTCAAGGTCAGCCACATGGTCCTCCAGTGCCCCAGCCCTCACTTTCGCATACTGCCCAGCAGAGCAGCGGTAGGTATGTGAAGGAGGGGCTGGGGCTGGATTCCAGAGTATTGATCCTGGGCAGGCACTCAGATGCTTCTTCTCCCTGGTCCCACGCCGCAGAGGACCATGATGAGGGTCAGTCTCTGGCCAGTTGTTCTCCTCCAGACTCTTGGGATTTTATTGGCCCTCCAAAGCAAATGTTAGGGAGGGTCGGGCTGGGGGCAAAAATGTAGCCCTGCAAGTTTTGCCCTTCCCTGCCCAAGAAGGAGGTGAAGCCAGAAGGACACTGCCAGGACACAAGCCCTGGTGTCACCCCTGTTGATGTAGTTCCAGTTGTCTGGTACTTTCAGCATCACGAAGGCTCAAAACGCTATGCCTGGAACTGTCATCCTGATTTGTGTGTTCTCTACTCTGCCTGGCTTCCCGAGAGCATACCCATGAGGGAGGATGCTTGTCCATGCACCTTTACTGAACAAGTTTTTTTTTGTTTTTGTTTGTGTTTGTGTTTTTGTTTTTTTTTGAGTAAGCTCTACATCCAATGTGAGGCTTGAACTCAGAACCCTGAGAACAAGGGTCACATGCTCTACTGACTGAGCCAGCCAGGTGCCCCTGAACACATATTTTGGACACCCTGCCAGGATGTGGAGAAACAAGGGTGAAAAAAGACATAGGTGTCCTTTGGAGCTCATGTCCCAATGTGGGGCTCCAGAAGTCATTCCAGAGCTAATGGAAGTTGTATGTGGGTGAGCGGACTTCTTCCAGTTAACTGCTTCTGTCTTTCTGCATACTCTGATTTTTAGCCCCAACTTTGTGTTTTGAAAAATTTCAAACCTACAGAAAAGTTACCGAGATTCACCAACTGTTTACATTTTACAGTATTTAGTGATTCTCTTTCTTACGTACACACATGCATGCACTTCATTTTTCCTTTTTTCCCCTCGGAACCATTTGGTAATGAATTGAAAACATTATCAGATATCACTCCAAATACCCTACATACCCTAAGTACAATGAACAAGGATATAAGGATATTATTTTAAATAATCAGAATACAATTATCATACTCAGGAAAATTAACATCATTATAATACTATAATGAGTCCATAATCAAATTTCTCCAAAGGACTGATCATGTCCTTGACAGCTTTTTTTTTCCAACCCAGGGTCCAATCAGAGATCCTGCACTGCATTTAGTTGTTACATCTCTATACTCTGCTTCTACTAGAACACTTTCACACTTCCCCGCCTTTTTAAATTCTGTCAATGGTTTTGAAAAGTCTGTTCCAAGCAGAATGTGCCTTAATTTAGATCTGTGCATCATTTCCTCATTATTCGACTGAAGGTATATTCAGGTGCTCAAGATGTCTCCACTGTAAGAGGATGTTTTTTCTTGTAATTAGTAAGTAACCTGAGAATGTGGAAACGTCTTGTTCTCCTACAATCTTTCACCCCATGATTTTAGCATTCATTGATGATCTTTTCCTAAATCAGTTGCTACAATGGTACTTGCAAAATGGTTATATTTCTATCACTTAGCTGGCATCATTTGCATGTCCTGGTTTAAGCTTTCTGCATTTCTCATGAAGTTTTTGGCTTACAGATGTTGTTTTTTTTTTTGAGATTTTATTTATTTATTTCACAGAGAGAGATAACGAGAGCAGGAACACAAGCAGGGGGAGTGGGAGAGGGAGAAGCAGGCCCCCCGCTGAGCAGGGAGCCTGATGCGATGCGGGGCTTGATCCCAGGATCCTGGGATCATGACCTGAGCCGAAAGCAGACACTCAACAACTGAGCCACCCAGGCTCCCCCAGATGTTTTGTTGTTAACACAATTGTGGTTACTCTGTGCCAGGCACAGCTTGCTTTATATCCGTTATCTCCTAAAATCTCTGCAGCATGCCTTCAGGGCAGGATTCATCATCCTCACTGCCAGGATTAGTGGTTTAGTGACTTGCTCAGTGACTGAGCCAGGATTCAAACTCCCTCTTTTAACCACTTTGCAGAATGGTCTCCGTGCATGATGATAATTTATTATTTTACTGTTCCTCACTAACCCCAGATGTCACTTTTTTCAGCTGTCCAGTGAGACTCAAAATGGGCTATTCTGACCACTCCCACAGGTCATTTACAACATTCTGATGCCTGGCAGAACAAACAACACTGTGTGTGACCAGCCTGTGTGTGACCAGCTGGGACCAAGGCCTTCATGAGTTCTGCTTGGTTGAATGTTATCTTACTATCCACTTGGTCCACATACTTCCTATTTTACAGATTACTCCGTGCTTTTGGTTTAATAGCTGACAGCATCCAGTTTTCTGGATCCTGCTGAGAAAATAACCCCAAACCCAACATACTCCCTAAAAAATGGATGGACTCAAATGCATGCATATTTGTGGTGCAAATGTTGGATGTGTGATATTCTCAGGTTGGGCCGGAAGGGTGTTGACCGAGCGTCTCTGGGATCACGACCTCTGCAAGATTTCAGAAGGCAGTAACACAGCCACCTCACAGGGAGCCTCCCACTCCTGAGACAACTGAAATTGTGCAATAACACACACGGTCCTTCTTGTTCCTGGGGTCCCTAACCCTGTCTTGACTGGCCAGCAAACTCCTTTAAGCTCAAACTAATACACCCACAGCAGAATTGGGCAGGAACTGGGGCTTTCCAGTCTATAGCAGGATATTTTGCAATTGCAGTGATACCTTTTGCAACAGGGAGCAATTCTGAGGCATGGACTTGCCTTTTTTTTTTTTAAGAGAGAGTAAGCAAGCAGGGGTGGTGGGGAAGGAGGGGCAGAGGAAGAGGAGAGAGAATCTCAAGCAGACTCCCCACTGAGCTTGGAGCCCCACATTGGACTCAATCATGACCTTGAGATCATGACCCTGAGATCATGACCCTGAGGCATGACCTGAGGTGAAACCAAGAGTCAGTCGTTCAACCGACTGAGCCACCTAGTTGCTCCAAGGCATGGACTTACTTGTGAGGTAGTGGCATTTCTATGTCAAAGAAGCTGAAAGAGGTTCCAGTAATTTTTTTAAAATGAAGAAATGTGGGGGCACCTGGGTGGCTCAGTTGGTTAAGCGACTGCATTCAGCTCAGGTCATGATCCTGGAGTCCTGGGATCGAGTCCCGGGATCGAGTCCCACATCAGGCTCACTGCTCAGCAGGGAGTCTGCTTCTCCCTCTGACCCTTCCCCCTCTCATGCTCTCTCAAATAAATAAATAAAATCTTTTAAAAATAAATAAAATGAAGAGATGTGAAAAGATGAATATAACTCTCAGGGTGACTTTTGAATGTTTGAACAGTGGTAGTGGAGTGTCGATGAAATCTTTCTTGTGCCTCTGTGACTGTATGTGTGCCCTTATTTGGGAACAACATGACAAATCTAAATCCATCACAGCTACTGCAAGCAGAGCTACTTCAACCTCTGCTCTTATCTTAAGTAATGCACAGCCCAGACATCCCAACCTTAAATCCATGCCTGGGTTTCACTTTCTAACCATTCATTTTTGCATCACTTTGAGCTTTTTTAAATCAATATGTATTACTTTTATAAAAGAAAAGATAGTTTTAAAAAAGTATTTTATAATTAGCTTAGCCTCCAAGGAGATATCAGTCCTGTCCCCACAACCATCATGATGAAGTTTGTGGTAGTTAAATATATAGTACATACGGGTTATTGAGAGAGCCATAGGCAAGATCATGGAAGAGTTCCTGTGTTAATCCGGAGTTGGAAGTAATGGATCCCATTGTGACCCAAACTCTTCCTCACCTTCCAGTATATTGAATTTTAAGGGAGAAATCAGAGACTTTGAGAGGCTAACATCTCAATTTCAAAGTGAATTTCCAGGCAATGAACCTCCCACTGGGAAACATACTTGTAACTGGGCTTTCTGAGAGCACACCAAGTTCTGGTGCAACCTCCAACCTCCTGAGCAGGATGGAAACAGGAAGAGAAAGGCAGCTTCCTAGGTGGACTTGACTTGTGGAGGTTGTACAGTAGTGGGGTCGGAATAGTTCCCGGATTGGTCCACCAGTGAGTTTCATTTTGCAATATGGTAACACCAAGCAAGAAGCTTTATGAGCTCTAAAGTGCTATACACATTATTTATTCTCATTGGTAAATCTAGACGGAGGATAAGTGGGTGTTCATTTTACTCTTTAATTTTTTTTTACATATTTAAACATTTTATAATTTAAAACACTGAAAAAATTTTGTTTTACTAATATTTCTAGGGACCCTTCTAGGAAGCTGGCTGTGGGCATACAGTCCCTGACCGCCAAAGGCTTACATGTTAGTGAAGGGGAATAACCCAGTTGCCTGCTCTCCCTTCCTTGCACCCTTTGAGGTTTGGTTTACATAATCCTGTCCCACTCGGATCTCCCTGTCCTTTTACCCGCGGCACAGCTGCTCCCGGTGCTTCAGTCAATGCCTACTCAGTAAGTTTCGAATATGCACAGAGTAGTGGGGGAAAAAAACGGGACTCCAAGATCTAGGACTTGTGGCCTGGGCCAGTTACCCGACGTCTCTGAGTTTCCTGTCAAATGGGTGGTTTGGGAATTTCAATGAGATAATGTATGCCAAAGAGCCTGGCACCGTGGGTCAGTGTCAGCTAGGTCCTTTGATGCTCCAGCGCCTAGCGCAGCGCCGGGCTAGTCGTGGGCGGCGTCCGAGGGCCGGACACAGGATCCCCGCCCCCGCAACAGCCGTCACCTCCGAGACCCCCGCCCACAGCGCGCGGTTCCCCGCCGCCGCGCTCGCTTCCGCGCGTGGGGGCAGGAAGACCCCACTCCGCGGGTCTCACGCCCGGCAGCAACTTCCTTGGGGCAGTCGCTCTGAGGGGAGGGGGTTTGTCCGCGGTAAGAGTAGCCCGAGGATAAAACGGAAGTGTCAGCGAAGAGCTCCGATAGGCAGGCTGGCAGGCACTGGAGTAGAGACAACCCGGCACACTGTGTCCGGGGCCCCGCGGGCTCTGCCCCAAGGGGGGAAAGCCCGAGGAGGCGCGACACGCCCTGCGGCCGGCCGCCGTACAGCCGCGCTAGTGAGTCCGAGGGCTACGCCCTAAACTACATCTTCCAGGGGGCCCCGGGAGTAAGCGGAGCCAATCGGAGGGCGAGTGGGCGGGCTCAGCGGGGCCTGTGTCTCCCAGGGGGCGCTGGAGCGGGGCGCCGTGGTCGGGATCGGCAGCCCCAGCAGCCTATGGTTGTGTCTCCACAGAGCGGCCAGCGCCCGGCGCGGAGGAGGAGCGGCCGTCGCCGCTGGTATCCTGGGCACGACCGCAAGAAGGGCAGTCGACGCGGCCGCCCGCGGCCCGGGATTGCAGGGCGAGGGTGCCCGGGGGCTGCGGTGCAGCGTGGCTCCCTACATTCCTCCACCCTTTAAGAGCCCCTAGACCTCGTTCAGTCGTGTTACCGGCAAATATTTACCAGTGCCTGCTGTGCACCCGTTGCTGTGCCGGGGCGAAGACTGGCAGGTCAGGCGGCACTCCTGCCCCAGGGCGCTTGTCTCCCCACTTACAGAGAGGGGGTTGGTCTCCACTCGCGGCGAGAGCAGTGAAAGGAATTCATTCAGCCCGACGCCAGCACTGTCATCTTGTCGGTTTTCAAACACCGGGAACCCTAGGGTACCGATTCTTAAACTTCTATCGTGATTCATTTTGAAAAATCTAGGGGAATGCTATGGGCAGTGGAGATAATGGTTTTGTTGAGAAAAAAAGCACATGGACCTGCAGTTTCGTGTGTCATTTCAGGGGATTCGTGACTTCCTGAAGTCTGCCAGGAGGAACCTGGCACGGAGCTCTAGGTATGGACCCTCCCGTCAGTCAAAGCCGCCCGTACTTTTTGTTTTATATATTTCACCTTCAAGGAAGATTTCCTTTGATCCACCGAGGGCGGAGCGGGGGAGGAACACCCATCGAGACCGTCTATCTGTATTTCTAGTCCCAACATTCTATTTGTTTAAGTCCTTCCCATCAAAACTACTTTCTAGTCTCAGGTAAACATAACCAGACTGTATTCACCTCCATGGTAATGTGAGGGGCACCTTCTTACTCAAATCCTTGTAACCCTTGTGGAACGTTCCCTTGCCTGCCACACTTGCCAATTAGTTAGAAACTGTAAAGGACTTAAATGAGTATCACCAGGCAACTGGCTGAGTACATTTTGGTGAATCTATTCTATGGACTGCACTGCATCCATTGAAAATGTGCAGTGGGTTTTTCTTTTTTTTTTTAAGATTTTATTTATTTATTTGACAGAGAGAGACACAGCGAGAGAGGGAACACAAGCAGGGGGAGTGGGAGAGGGAGAAGCAGGCTTCCCGAGGAGCAGGGAGCCTGATGGGCTCGATCCCAGGACCCTGGGATCATGACTTGAGCCAAGGCAGATGCTCAATGACTGAGCCACCAAGGCGCCCCTGCAGTGGGTTTTTGTATGCTAATGTGTGGAGATGGTCAATATGTAAGGTGAAAAAGAGCATGTTTACAGTACAACATGAAAATATAATCCCACGTTTGTAAATAACAGGAAAAATATTTTAAAACTTAAATATCTAAAGGGGAACAAGAAATACCATGGCAACCTCCAGAGAGTAGAATTAGGGATAGAGGTTGTGCTTTTCACTGTGTCTTCTATATGTTTTTGTGTTTTTCAATAAGCATTTAAACATTTTATGACACATGAAAAATCATCCGTGAATATATTCTAAGTGTAAAATAATAAGGCAAAACAGAAAATATAGCAAGCTAGTGTTAGAGGAAGACTTTCATGTTTTGCTCATTATTTATTTATGTGTTTATTTATTTGTGTATGTATGTATGTAGGCTCCATGACCAACATGAGGCTCAAATTGAGAGCCTGAGATTGAGAGTCACATGCTCTACCGACTGAGACAGCGAGGTGTCCCTGCTCATTATTTTTTATAAAAAAACTTAAATAAAACCTCATGAACTGGAATATTTTTTTCATTGTAGTGCAGAGGATTACGAAAATGGTTTTTAAGATTTTTTTTTTTTTTTTAATTTGAGAGAGAGCACATGAGAAGGGGGAGGGTCAGAGGGAGAAGCAGACCCCCAGCTGAGCAGGGAGCCCGATGCGGGACTCGATCCCGAGACTCCAGGATCATGACCTGAGCCGAAGGCAGTCGCTTAACCAACTGAGCCACCCAGGCGCCCACGAAAATGGTTTTTAAAAAGCACACTGTGCCCATAGAGAAACACATACATGGGTGACACTTATGATTGAAGCTAACATATATTGGGCACTTTGTGTGTGATATATCATATGAGTGCCTTATATGCCTTCATAGCAGAGGCTCTGGAGTCAGACTGCCTCAGTGAGAATACTGCCTACAGTTAACCATTTGTGTGACACTGGCTGAGTG